TCAATCTTGAGCCGGTCGGGATCGAACTCCTGGCAGCGGGCAGAGTCAGCCTGCAATCCTGCATTCTAATCACTGAGTCACAAAACCCAATTTGGCTACCGCAATCTTGGCAAGGTTCTGGAACTGCATAGAAAAACAACGACTGTCTCTGAATGAGCTTGTTTTTGACAGACCTAGATTTACAGCCATCCAGCTCAGGTGACCTCCACTGAGTCAACCTTGACTGGTTTCCGAAAAGCTAAACAACGCTGGCGCAAGGCAATACTCCAATAATTCTATATCTCTGCCGCTATTTGCACCCAGGAAGTCAACAAGAGTTGATTCTTCTTTAAAGAGATACGTCCTTGGAGAGCAGGGACAATTGAAGACCTCCCATTCAGAACTCAGCTGCCCTTGATGAGATGGTGAAATACTCTGTTCTGTTTCAGTCTGGCTTAAATTCTTGGCCATCTAAATATTACGAGAGGTTTGGAAGGGGCTTCCTTTCTCGGTCTGCTATAAACACTCGGCAGACAACTGGAAGGAAGGGGTGGGTGGGGAAAGACAAAGATTTATACTTAATTACAAATGTTTCACTTCTGGGCATTTCCAGCAACATCTGGAGATGAAAGGTAACCAGCAGTACCTCCCACCGAGATCAAGCAGGCCCAGCGTCCTCTACCAGTCTCCCAAGGTTTATCAACAGACAACAGAAAGCGCTATTAAAGTATACTGAGAGCACACAGAGAAGAATCGTAATTCCTCCATTCGATGTCACCTAACGTTGAGTAAAACCCAGATTTGCCTGCCTTTCAAGGCAAAATGAGTTAAGGAATTTCTGAAGTTCCCACATACAGTTAAAAGATCAGTTCTGGTGCCAACCTTTCTCTTAAGGATCTTCTCATCTATTTGAAGTTGCAAAGGACCCAATCTGCAAAGGAAACCCAATGAACATCCCTACTCAGATCTTCTGGGACGGGAAACCCCATAAAATAGACAAGTTGATGGCTTCAACTTGTCCAGCCTAAATGGGACACACAAAACTCTGTTTCTGACATGGCTGGTTGGCCAGTCCATCAGCGGAGCACTTAAAAGATGTTCATTATGACCGAAGCAATGGAGACTAGACCCTTGACCAAGAAAAAGAGAAGTCACTCGTTGTGACTTTGCACCCTCCTCTTCCTTGTCTGCTCAGACCCAGATGTGTCCCGTTCTGAGCACCCCAATTCAAGAAAGACAGTGACTGAGTGGAACATGGTTAGGGGAAGACTACCAAGGAAAGGACAGGTCTGGAAACCAAGACCTAGGACAGGGCTGTCCATCCTTGGCAACTTGAAGACCTGTGGACTTCAAGTATGGACTTCCTATGGATTTGTGGACTTCCTGTGGCTGGGAGGGGAATTCCAGGGGTTAAAGTCCACAAGTCTTCAAGGTTGGTCACTTCTGCCCTAGGAGGAATAGTTAAAGGATCTGGGGATCTTTTGGCCTACCGAAGAGACAAAGGAGAGAGAGAGATGACGGCAATCTTCAAACATCTAAGGACTGTTGCCCAAAAGGAGTGCAATTGTCCTCTGGCATCCCAGAAGACGAGAACCAATGGATTAAGGAAGGATCTCCACGCTCGATGTCAAGAGGAGATTCCTGGCTGCCTAAGCTGGGAGCCAACGCAGCAGGCTATGCCATGAAGGGGTGTGTTCTCCTTCGTTGGAGGCTGCCCGACAGAGGATAGACAGCCATCTGCCAGAAACACTTCCTGGCAACAGAGCAGGAAGCTGGCCTAGAGACACCTCCAAGGTCCCTTTGGACTCTTATGATTCTATGAACCCGCTAAGCCATCAATCGTGGTCAGCAAACCCCGAGGCTAGGCTTGCTAGCTCCTCAACAACCCAAGGTTTTGTTTGGATCCCCTTGCCGTTAGCTGCCTTTATTTCCACTGCAACAGCCTGATCAGGTTTGAGAAATCCCTTAACAAGCCAAGCGCAGCCTGCAGACGGTCTCTTTAGAGCTATTCCATTTAAGCCACAGATGTTAAATGAATTCAGCAGACAGACGGAGTAATGGAATGTCGGTCCTTCAACTTCCCGCCTTATAGCAAAAAAACTCATATTTCTCTCTCTCTCTCTCTCTCTCTCTCTCTCTCTCTCTCTCTCTCTCTCTCTCTCTCTCTCTTTTCTCATCTAATTCCTAAAGCCGCCTCTGGGCTCTCTATTTTGAATTGCAGCATACTTGTCAGGCTGGCTAACCCAATTTGGAAATAATTAAATTTTAAAATATTAAAGGGATTAAATATATTTCGCCTTCCCTCCTCCGCCTCCTCCAAAACGGGGGAATTTTCTTTCAGCACAAAACAGAAGGAAGGACTTTTATATATATATATTTATATATATATATATATTAAAGAAAGGGGGGAAGGCAGGCACAAAAAAGACCCACACCGTGAACCGCACTGCAACACCCCCACCCCCCCCCACCCCCGATTTGCTACCATTATTTCTCTAGAGGGGTTTGGCAGAGATCCAAGCAGTTAATTTTAAATAAGGGGGGGACCTGGAGGCGTTCTGAAACGGAGAAGGGTTTAAGCCGGTTTGATGGAAGAACAGACTCTAAAAAATGCAACTCAACCCGCCATATTTGTAATAAAACCGGAATATTTGGAACAGGAGAATTGGCCACACCAGCTCTAATCCGTCTTTCTCTTTTTCAATTTCTTCTTTCTCTCTCTCTCTCTTTTTAAAAAAAAATTGTCTTGAGGGGTCTTCTGGGCAGCTTCCCAGCCGAAGTACGCAGGTATGGCTCCTCTCTGAGACCGTCAAGAATATTCCTCTGAGGTGTGCAAAGCCAACTAGCTTCATTTAAGGCTCCTTTCGCTTATTCTCCTATGCCAAAATCCTACCGGAGGCCCAGCCGTGAAAATACAGCTTTCAGAGAGCTGCAGTTTACCCATTTAGCTTTATTAACTGCCATGATTTCGATGCAATTTTGTATATTATACTGGCTGAGCTTCAGGTTTTTTTTTTCTGTGTGTGTGTCTCTGTGTGTGTGTGTGTGTGTGTGTTTTGCAATTTAGTAGACAGCCTAGTGGGAACAATCCAGCAGCTGCTGCTCGACGCTCATCGGCAACTCCTTCCATCTAAAAGCTCCTTAAAAGGGTAACAGAACAACAGAGGTGGACGGGACCTTAGAGGTCTTCTAGTCCAACCCCCTGTGCCTAGGTGGGTCCTGACGCTGCCTTTCCAGTCCCCAGAAAGGGCAGCTTCAACCAAAATGGGAAACAGAACAGGCATGGACCTCTTCATCCCAACCAGCCAAATTCAATCCCGGGATTCTGGAGGCGTGAGAGTTCTCCCCCCTATTTGCAAAATAAAAACCTACAGTCTGGAAAGGAGAAGGGGGGGGGAGTTTAAAGAGCAGCATGGAGCAACACAAACCCAAATTTTGCAAGTCTAAAACTCCACCCAACACTAAACTAGAATTCCTGGATTCACACCCCCACCTTACGCCAGATTCCAGCTGGCCAATATTAACAGTTTAATGTAATTTGTGGACCCCCTCGCGGTTGCTTCAAAACGGCACTTGTTTTTTCCAATGTTCTCCCAGATGGTTCACGTGGCGTCACCCGTGTCCCACACTAAAAATATGATCCCTGGGTATATCCATATTTAAAACCAAACAAATAAATGTGAGCACCAGGGAGTGCTAAAAAATTTAATAAAATTTAGTAAAATGTCAATAAAATTACAATAAAACCAAGACTCTGGCCGATCTATAAAGAGGACTCTCCTACTGACCGGCATTTTGAGCCCTGATGATGTCAGCAGTTGCTGACGAAAGCTAGGCGTTTTATTGGTTTTATTGTAATTTTATTGACATTTTACTAAATTTTATTAAATTTGTTAGCACTCCCATATATATATATGTGTGTGCAGGATGCTTTTCAGACAGATGTCTAATTGATTACACCTTGACATTTTTTTAACTGTTATACTGCAGTTTTACTTTTTACAATCTCTTTTGCCTTGCAGCCCCCAACTAGGGGCGTTAAGCAGGCTCAAGTCGCCACTGCGAAACATTACAAATCCAAATTTCTTTTTCTGACAAAGAATTAAAGAATTAAATTGGGAGACTAAGATCTTAGTCTCCCAATTTAATTCTTTAATTCTTTGTCAGAAAAAGAAATTTGGATATATATATTTGGATATATATATATATATTTGGATATATATATATATATATATATATATATGGATATATATATATGTAGGTCTTTGGTTGTTCGGGTTTTCTCCCACGTAAAATTGGAAGTGTCTTGGCGACGTTTCGACGAAGTCCCATTCGTCATCTTCAGATGACGAATGGGACTTCGTCGAAACGTCGCCAAGACACTTCCAATTTTACGTGGGAGAAAAAAACAACCAAAGACTACATCAAATACCGCGTCAAAAACGAGATATATATATAATAGATATATATAATATATATATATATATTTATATATATCTATATATATATATATATATATAATAAAGAACGAAAGGGCAAGTCTTGAACCTCAGAGGAGAAGGATAAAGGACACGCTGGAACATGGGGAAACTACGCAGTTGCTGCTGAACTTAACCGTACAACTCAAAAAGAACTGGGTTGAAACTCTCCGTTCAATTTTCCCACAACGCCTCAGATCAACTTCCTGGGGGGGGGGGGCATTATGGCAGCTGATCGTGACGGCGAGAGGTTAGGATTCACCCACTCCGCTGTGGGTCCCACTTCCTGGCAATCGTACAGGCGACGGGGGAGAAACAGATCATCCGATGTGGTTTCCCCCTTGGAATGCCATGTGAAGCAAAATAAGCAATTCTCTTCTAGGGCGCATGGACTAAGAGGCCAGCAAAAAGAAAAAAGCCGGAGAGCCCGCCAGCCACTCCGCCTAATTGAAAGCACCGGCCTTTGACCTCCCCAAACGACAGGGACTGTGGGAAAAGGAACTTCTCTCAGGACCCTTCGATAATAGTTGGCTGCAAACTCACCCGTGGAGAGGAGCCAAGGAAAAGCCAGCGACGGGAAAACCCTGGCACCGTCCCTTGAGGGTTGAGTCGCAAAAAGGCTAAGGCTGCATCTCTGGAAGTCTGTTCCTCTGCCCTTCTTCTTCCTGATCTGCTGCCTGGAAAATCTCTTGGGACAAAGAGAGGGAGAGAGAGAGAGAGAAAAAAAAAATGAAATTCATCTGAATGGCAAAGCAGCTCAGCTTCCCCTTGCATCAAATGCGCTTCCCAGAATAATGGCGCAAAATGAGAAAAAGCCAAGTTAGCACTGCCTGCAGCAGCGCAGGCAACGTGCAAACTCAAAAAAAAAAAGTCCCCTTTTTGCCGCAAAATGTGCGTCTCTTTTTTTCACCAGGGGGATGTTGCACGGGGACTTCTCTGTTCGCTCTTGAGGTAGCAAAACCTGGGATTTTATGAGCGATGGAAGGGATGCTTCTGAATGGGATGGTTTCAACCTGCCGTGTGCATTTGCCCTGGTTAAATGCTGAGCGGGCCTTGACTGAAGCCATCGTGATGGGCTGCACATTTTGGGGCAGGGGCTGAGTGGTCTTGACAGCTGACAGATGGACAAGCATGGATGCTTGACCTTTTAGCTAACCAGACACACCGATAGGCAGAGATGCACCCCAGTCATTAGAATCTAGAAAATGGAGAATGCAGGAGGAGATACACACACACACACACACACACACACATATACTGTAAACCACATTGCTAAATTGGGAGGAATCCCTAAACTGGGCTGATGCTGGTAGGGGCCATTTTGTTTCCATCCTCCTGGCAAGGGTGGTGAGCAAGACTTTTAACAGGTTAATGGCAGGGGGTTTTCACCCCCCAAATCTTTCTTTGCTGGTGGGGCCACTAGAGGACGACGCCAGGAGCCAGGAAGACCGTAGTGGCGTCTCTTCCAGGGTGCAAAAAGCTATTTTTTTTTTCACCCTGCCTCCGGTCTGCTGTTTACACATATGTGTCTGTCTTCCCCCACTGAGCTCAGCTGTGCCCAAATGACATCCAATCTGTTCAGGCACCCGAAGGAGTGGGAAACGACAGCAGGGCAGGTAGAAGGCAAGCGTGGAGGGCCCGTTTCCAGTTGGAGAGGCCGAAGGCGAGGTCTGAGAGAGTGGGTGGGTGGCTGGGTGGGTGGGTTGATGGAGAAGGTCTTGCGGGCAGCTCAGAAAGTACCGATTTGGCCACCCAGGCGTCCATTGAACCAGGAGGAGGAAGAAAAGCTGTCCCAGGGCCTTCGCACCACGCAGGACACGGAGGCCGACAAGGACAGAGGACTGAGAGAGGGCGAAGGGCCAACGGGGCAGTTTGGCAGAAGGGATTCCCTGGACGCAGCAACTGAAGATTTATTTAGGAAGCGTAAGCAGAGTTAAGGAAGGGACAATGGCGCTCTGTCCCTCTCATGAAAATGCCCATTACGAGGGGTAAAAGAGCGTACTGATTTAAGGTATCCGGGTCCTGGCTGGCCAATGCTGAGAGTCCTTGTGCTGAGAAACACAGCAGGAGAGAAAGGCACGAAGGGGAGGGAGGAGGGAAACAAACCAAAAAAAAAAAAAAAAAAAGCAAGCTAAAATGTTCCTACCAAAAGCTCTCCGGATTACCATACAGCTGGAGAGGAAATGGGCGCAGCAAAAGCAGATGCCGGAAATCTGGAGAGACGTATAGAAAAGGGGCACAAGTGGACAGGTGATCTACAGAGAACCACCTCTAACACAAGGCAACCTGGCTTCCTCCGTTGCTTTCAGGTGTGCTAGCAAGGAAGGACCTGGGAAAATCAGGCAGCCAAAAGAGTTACGCCCTGGATTTTTGTTGGCCGGACAGAACAGAGGCCAGCTCAAGACTCCCGGTTCACCGACGATCACAAACGACCGATAGCAACACAGACCCAAAGACAATTTCTCATGCTGAGCCTTAAAAATAGGCTCGAGATAACGCAGCAGCAGCAAGGAGAGCTATTCTGGGATTCTAAAATGGGGGGGGGGGGAAGGGAGGTCATTTTTAGAGAAAGCTTCTTTTTACTGCAAGGGCTTCTTTGCTGCACAAAGCTCGGCGGTGCCAAACGCACTGACACCCGCAGAGACATGACTGGTATTGTGGGTGTAGCTTGGACGGTCAGCCAGGTCGTGGCTGGTGTGGTTCACATTCCTGGGGGAATCCGATAGGGATAAATTTAGCAAGGGCAAGGGCTTGGCCAAAAGGAAAACCTATTCGATGGAGGCTGGCCAGCCTCTTCTAGGGGGCTTCCTCTGCTCAAGCCTGGAGCCTGCCCTGTTCAGACAAGGCAACCCTCTCTACTTATAATACACATTTCCCTCCTTTACCGGCTGCCCCTGATTATGGACTGAGAAGGGCAGAGAATTCGTACAATCTTCCCCCAAATGAAGGCTAAGCCAAACAGCAATATCCCCCGGGGAGCTAAGTTCAAACCGAGAAGGTCTGTTCTGTCAACGCTGCAAATATTGTATATTCTTGCTTTTGACAATATGCAGAACTGTCTGGTATTTATGGGGTTAATACAGAGCAGAAGGGGGGTGGGGGTAAAGCCCGGGAAAGAAAGAGGAAGGAAACCTTTGACCTTCACACTAATTGGATAATGTGAGATATGACGGCTAATTTAGGGAGGGAACATGCTGATAATTTAACTGCTCAGAGGAAGAGAACTTAGATCCTAGCATCCCTCCGTTGTGCCGACATTTTGTAACAATCACTGACTTTTAGGAAAATAAATGCCTGGAAATTCTTTGAAGTGTTTCATTAGCCGGAACCATAACAGTCTGGTTTTTAAAGACGAGATCGGACAGTCCTTTGTCTGGAATGGTATAGAGTCTCCTGCTTGAGCAGGGGGGGGGCTGGACTGGATGACCTCCGAGGCTGTTATTCTGCTTTCTGTAAGAAAGGGCAGAGGGTCTCCTGGCTTGAGCAGGGGGATGGACTATAACACCCATGCGCTGTGGCAAATAAGAGCTTGCCAATTCAAAAGACAATAGACCGTGTATTTTTTTAAATTCTTTTTTTAAAGATCCCTCACATCCAGGGATCTTTCTGAAAACTCAAGATTTCAAGCACTCACGAAGCACAAAGGGCTATTTTTTTTTCCCCCAGGAAAGACAACAGAGATCACCCCTCTTGCCTGCCCACCTGGTCTCTTAGATTTGAAAACTAAAAACTAACCAAAGAAATTAGCTCAGGCCTTAAATTTGCTTGGTTCCAGGTTTCTGGCAAACCCAGAAAAAGAGATTAATTCAACAGAGGCCTGGACCCTGGAGTGGGAAATATGCATTTCAATATACAGGAGAAACTAAAAAAAAAAAAACTAGCATTACCCCTAACGGCTGTACAACTGTGTCTCAATCACCAACTTTATATAAGAATTCTCTTTCAGCTCTGCTTGACCTTCACTGAGTCATGGGACTTCCCCTATACATCAGCTGACCATCAGATGCTGGTTCTAGGCTTCTCAATCTTGGTCACTTGATTGGGGGGGGGAGGGACTTCAACACCCTGAACACCTCAGCCCTGGTTGGGGCATTCTGGGAGTTGAAGTCTGCCCCTCTTAAAAGTTGCCACGGTGGAGAAACTGTCATAGGGTGACCAATTCTGGCCTCCCAAGGTCCAGATGGCCAACAGAGATATGCAGATCCTTCTTATTGGTGCCACCTGCAGATTTTGATAATCCAGATATGGTAACCTAAATTCTGAGATTCTGGATGATGTGACTTAGCTGTCGGGCCACTTAAGAAAAGCAAAGTCTGTCCTCACTGCATTGAGTGACAGCAGCTAAAAAGCTTTGGTTAATAAGATGATAAGAAGCTCAGGTGCCTCTAAATCAGCGGTTCTCAACCTGTGGGTCGGGACCCCATTTGGGGTCGAACGACCATTTCACGGGGGTCGCCAAACAACGCAGTCCGCCATTTTTTTCCCCTTTTCCTTAGCTGTGCTACTCCCTTTTATTCTATTGGCTTTTGAAAGCCAATAGAATAGACTCTCTTGAATAGAGTCTAATTCTATTGGCTTTCAAAAGCCAATAGGAATGGTCCAGGCTGTCTCTGCCCTGCTGAGCCCGCCAAAAGTCCCCTTCTGCAAACGGTGCTGCACCAGTAGAGTAGTCCTCGACTTACGACCGGTTGAGTAGTCCTCGACTTACGACCGGTTGGGGGTCGCGGCATTAAAAAGGTTGAGAACCACTGCTCTAAATCATCCTTTCTCCAGGTAGATTAAAAACAATAATTGTGCTTTGACTCGCCGGGAGTTAAAACTGACTTGGAAAGCACCCGTTTGGGTAGAACGGGGAAAGTGAAATCTGTTCCTTACTCAAGTCTTCCATTTTTAATTTAATGTTATTTTTTTTAAAAGTAGGTTGCATACTCTCGGCAAGTTTCCTAATTTGCAAGGGTATTAAATGTCAGCCGAGACCGCCTCTCTAGGCTGAGAGGATGTGGGGAAGGAAGCTTGCTCCTGCTTTGAAAATGGCAGGCAAAATAATAATAAAATGGTAACCCAGGCAAGGTTTTCAGGCCTCAGCCAAGTCAGTGCTTTATAGCGGATTATTCTCCTTGGGAAGAGCTCACAAGTGGAGCGCTAAAGTGACAGAAGTAAGGGAGGTTAATTGGGATGAGTGAACAAGCAGCTGGAGGGGAAAAGGCATGGCTTTCTCTTTTTGTACATGATAATGGCAGTGAGATTATTGTTACGTTCCTCCACAAAGGAGGAACGGCGGGTGAAGATGACGGCTCTTGCTGAGATGCTAAATTGACCTTTTTTCGTTCCGAGAGAAGACAATCTCTGTGTTTATCACTGACTGGAAACCCCTTGTAGACTTTTTGCGTAAAACATAAAATAAAATAAATTCACATTTGATGGTTTTGATGACTAGACAGGGTAAATAATAGAGAGTTATACTGTAACCCTACAGCAGGGGTCTTAAGACTTGGCCCTTTTATGACTCGTGGACTTTGACTCCCAGAATTCCTCAGCCAGTGTGCACTCTTGGTGACCACACAGATGGATGACCACACAGATTCTCAGTCATCCAGGTTCTAGTTGTCTCAAAGGTGCTTTTTCCCCCCCAATTACAACTTATGAAGCTTCTTGCATAAGACGTGAAACTCCTTCTTTCCTTTCCTCTTCTTCTTCCTCCTCCTCCTCCTCCTCCTCCTCTTCTTCTTCTTCTTCTTCTTCTTCTTCTTCTTCTTCTTCTTCTTCTTCTTCTTCTTCTTCTTCTTCTTCTTCCTCTTCTTCCTCCTCCTCCTCCTCCTCCTCCTCCTCCTCCAGTTGCCTTTTGAGACACATAGATGGACCTTCTTCATGATGATCTGTCCCCAAACTTGTCCTTCGGGTCTTCCAACAATGTCCACTTCAACTGAGTAGTTGTCCTCTTCTCCTCTTCCCCTTCCACCTTTCCCAGCATCAGAGTTTCTCCAGAGAGCTGAGTCTTTTGCACTGATTGATTGGTTGACATCAAGTCCTTGTCAACTCATCATGACCAGACAGAATTCCTCCGCGATGATCTGACCTGGTCTTTCAGACCTTCCAATGCTGGCTTCATCAGCACCGTGACGAAGTCCCTTCATCTTGCTGTGGGTTGGTCCTCCTCTCCTCCTTCCTTCCATCTTCTCCAGATCCAGGCTCCATCGAAGCCTTCTCTAGGGAGCTGGCTCTTCGCCTCACGTGTCCAAAGTCGGGACTTGTGTGCCTCAAGTGCGGTCTTGTTCCCAGCTCCTGGATCATCCTATCTTTTGAAAAGCAGCCCTCTTTCTCTCTCCAGCAAAGCCTACTGACACACTCGCACAGACACACATGAACAGGCTCTCACTTGGCCCCCCTCCCTGGTGATTCATGTTCCTCCCACACGCCTCAGCTGCTTTTGTTTTCCTCCGCAGAGCAATGTGTCTAATACATGGCGAAAACACGCCGTGCCAAACGTCAGCTTGCGGAGCTGTTGGGAACACACACGGATGTCAAGGTAATGACGTCGTTGGCAGAGAAAGGGGAGAGAGAGAGAGGGAGAGAGAGAGAGAGAGAGAGAGAGAGAGAGAGAGAGAGAGAGAGAGAGAGAGAGAGAAGGACTCAGATGGAATGAGGGGTGGGAGGACAAGAGAGAAGAGAGATTGTGTTTGCTGGGTCCGGTCTTGTTTGAGTAGAGAAAAGGACCTCGCCAAACGTGTCTTCTCCTTCCTCTCCGCAGCGTATGGCTTTAACCTTCAAATAAAGCCTTGCCAGTAACTGGTTGTCCTTCCTCCTGGTGCACATCCTTCGTTCTTTTCCCATGTCCGGCTGGAACATCACATCTGTCTCCCGTTTTCCCAGCTCCGATGCTGCTGCTGAAGTTGCAGGATGTTCTTGACCATTCAAGGCCCACTTTTTCGTCCCGAGGTCGCGGGGGGGGGCTCCTTTCCCTCTCAACACCCCCCTCCTTTATTTCCCTGTCAGCCTCCCTCTCTCCCTCCCTCTCCTGTTACCTATTTGTGTGGAAAGTAAGCTATTTCCACCCCACCTACTCACAAACACAATAAGCGAGAGCGCCAAAGGGAAAGAACACCGTGTTTTTCAGACCAGCCTCTGCCTTAGCAACCGATGCAAAAAAAAAAAATCTTTATGGGAAAAAGAATGGAGAGCTTTGGGGAAAGGAAAAAGGAGATTGGAGGGGGGGGGAACACACAGAGTGCTCTCTACTGTTGAGAAAGCTCCGGGAGACTTGTCTTCTGCCGTTAATTACAGTTCCTGGAACCTTTCAAGGCTACAAGAGCTGGTGGGCTTTGTAAAACAAGAGCAGCTAGGACAGACGCAGCTTCTTCCAGGAACGATGGCAGCGAAGATGAAGAGCAGAGCAAAGACTTGGGAGAAGAGGAGGAGGAGGAGGAGGAGGAGAGATGGCAAAACTTTTAGACACAGTGCCCTGTCGAATTCTGGACCCAAAATCAGGGCAAACCCCTTCCCCTTGCTAATCTTCCAAGTCTTGGGATGACAGGGAGGGAGAGGGAAAGGTGGGAGAATCCTAATCCTAGCTCAGCCCTAGAAGAATCGGCAAAGCCCGTCCACCTTGAACAGACGTGGGGAACCTCTTACTACACAACCGTGGCTGAGCTACGTCTTCCCCAATGGCAACTGGAAGTGGCACTTTAGAGACATCTGGGGGGGGAGGGAGGGGAAGGGGGTCTATCTGCCTTGGAGATAAAAGATGTTGAGACTCTGGAAAGAATGCAGAGAAGAGGAACAAAGGCAGGTCAGGAGGCCAGAGGCTAAAACATAGGAAGGACGGTTGCAGGGGTTGGGTGTGTCTAGTCCAGTGCTTCTCAACCTCAACAATTTTATGATTTGTGGACTTCAAGTCCCAGAATTCCTCAGTCGGCATGCTGGCTGGAGGATTCTGGGAGTTGAAGTCCACACATCTTAAAATTACTGAGGTTGAGAAACACTGGTCTAGTCTAATGAAGAAAAAGGACCAGGGGCGACAGGATAGCCGTCTTCCAGTATCTCAGGGGCTGCCCCAAAGAAGAGGGAGTCAAGCTCTTCTCCGAAGCCCCTGAAGGCAGGACGAGAAGCAACGGATGGAAACTCATCAAGGAGAGAAGCGACCTAGAACTAAGGAGAAACTTCCTGACAGTGAGAACAATGAATCAGTGGAACTCCTTGCCTCCAGAAGCTGTGGGTGCTCCAACACTGGACGTTTTTAAGAAGAGACAGCCCCTTGTCTGGAATGGTACAGGGTCTCCTGCCTGAGCAGGGGGTTGGACTAGAAGACCTCCGAGGTCCCTTCCAACTCTCTCGTTCTGCCTTCCAGGACAGGGAAAGCCAAGTGGTCAGGTTAGGGCCTCGTTCAACAGGGGGTATCAAATCAGAAAGGGGCTGAATTCAGTCGCCAGGGTCAAGGCAGCAGCCTAATTTGGAGACCCTACTACTATAACCCGGTCGGCCAACGTCCGTCCAGCGTTCCCGTCTGGTGTCCCTCACGCCGCCAGGGCTTGCTCTGGAATTGGGGGGGGGGCGCTTTCAAGTACAAACCAGGTTGCCCTCGTTGGAAAAGGGGAGCCCCGAAAAGAAAGAATCGAAGGAAAACAAAAGCTCCAAGTCGTTGGCTTGGCAGAGGCTTGGAAACGCCAGGCAAGCCAAGGCATCTCTGGCTGGCTGCTGGGAAAGGCGTCACCTGTGGAGGAGAGAGAGAGAGCAGGGACAGCCATCCCGGGAGGAGAGGGAGAGCGGTCAGAGGAGATGCCGCCATGTTTCTGGAGGAAGTCCCTGACGCAGCGGCACCACCTGTCCCTCGCCATCCTGTGCATCTGTTGGCATTTCGGGGCCTGCCAAAGCATGAATATCGCTCATGATTGGAAGGGGGGGGGAGGAAGAAGAGAGAGAGAGAGAGAGAGAGAGAGAGAAAGAAAGGGCAGAGACAGGGAGGAGAGAGAGAGAGGAGAGGAGAAAGAGAAAGAGGGAAGAGAGAGGGGAGAAGGAGGAGAGAGAGAGAGGAGAGAGCAGAGACAGGGAGGAGAGAGAGAGAGAGGAGAGGAGAGAGGAAAAAGAGAAAGCGGGAGGAGAGAGGGAAGAGGAGGAGGAGAGAGAGAGGAGAGAGCAGAGACAGGGAGGAAAGAGAGCGGGGAAAGAAGGAGGGGAGAGGGAGGAGAGAGAGAGAGAGAGAGCAGAGACAGGGAGGAGAGAGAGAGAGGAGAGGAGAAAGAGAAAGAGGGAAGAGAGAGGGGAGAGGAGGAGGAGAGAGAGAGGAGAGAGCAGAGACAGGGAGGAAAGAGAGCGGGGAAAGAAGGAGGGGAGAGGGAGGAGAGAGAGAGAGAGAGCAGAGACAGGGAGGAGAGAGAGAGAGGAGAGAAGAAAGAGAAAGAGGGAAGAGAGAGGGGAGAGGGAGGAGAGAGAGAGAGGAGAGAGCAGAGACAGGGAGGAGAGAGAGAGAGAGGAGAGGAGAGAGGAAAAAGAGAAAGCGGGAGGAGAGAGGGAAGAGGAGGAGGAGAGAGAGAGGAGAGAGCAGAGACAGGGAGGAAAGAGAGCGGGGAAAGAAGGAGGGGAGAGAGAGGAGAGAGAGAGAGAGAGAGAGCAGAGACAGGGAGGAGAGAGAGAGAGGAGAGAGAAAGAGAAAAGGGAGGAGAGAGGGAAGAGGAGGAGGAGAGAGAGAGGAGAGAGCAGAGACAGGGAGGAAAGAGAGCGGGGAAAGAAGGAGGGGAGAGGGAGGAGAGAGAGAGAGAGAGAGAGAAAGAAAGGGCAGAGACAGGGAGGAGAGAGAGAGAGGAGAGGAGAAAGAGAAAGAGGGAAGAGAGAGGGGAGAGGGAGGAGAGAGAGAGGAGAGAGCAGAGACAGGGAGGAGAGAGAGAGAGGAGAGGAGAGAGGAAAAAGAGAAAGCGGGAGGAGAGAGAGAGAAGAGGAGGAGGAGAGAGAGAGGAGAGAGCAGAGACAGGGAGGAAAGAGAGCGAGGAGAGAAGAAAGAGAAAGAGGGAGGAGAGAGGGAAGAGGAGGAGGAGAGAGAGAGGAGAGAGCAGAGACAGGGAGGAGAGAGAGAGAGGAGAGAAGAAAGAGAAAGAGGGAGGAGAGAGGGAAGAGGAGGAGAGAGAGAGAGGAGAGAGCAGAGACAGGGAGGAAAGAGAGCGGGGAAAGAAGGAGGGGAGAGGGAGGAGAGAGAGAGAGGAGAGAGCAGAGACAGGGAGGAGAGAGAGAGAGGAGAGAAGAAAGAGAAAGAGGGAGGAGAGAGGGAAGAGGAGGAGGAGAGAGAGAGGAGAGAGCAGAGACAGGGAGGAAAGAGAGCGGGGAAAGAAGGAGGGGAGAGGGAGGAGAGAGAGAGAGAGAGAGCAGAGACAGGGAGGAGAGAGAGAGAGGAGAGAAGAAAGAGAAAGCGGGAGGAGAGAGGGAAGAGGAGGAGAGAGAGAGAGGAGAGAGCAGAGACAGGGAGGAAAGAGAGCGGGGAAAGAAGGAGGGGAGAGGGAGGAGAGAGAGGGAGGAAAGAAAGAAAGAGAAGAGAGAGAGGGGAGAGGGAGGAGCATGGCTGGCTGGGGAACTCTGGGAACTGAAGTCCGCTCATCTTAAAGTTGATAAGCTTGGGAAACATTGCCTCAATCGTAAAATTGGGACAGATTCCTATTGGAGATGCTAAACCTGTTGTTTTTAAAAGTGGGGCGCAGCCTTTACAAAAACAAAAACCGAACGCTCAGGAAGGACTCCACAAACATGGGCCCAACCCATTGGTTCGTCAGGTGCCTGTCCGAAAAGGGGAAAAGACACGTCCGAGGACGGTCAAGTCACACATTTTGGAAGCTCTTCCAGGCTTCCAAAGGGACCAGGAGGCCAAGCCATTCCCAGCTCACCCAGGAGGGCCTTTTTGCAGGGCAGAAAAGGAGGAGAAAGCAGGTGGTGGATTTGCAAACCCCCCCCCCCAAAAAAAACCCCAACCCAAGAAAACTCTTTTAAAGAACAGCTGCTCTTTTTTTTGGGGGGGGGAGCTTCTATTCTTTCACAAAACTTATAGCTTGTGACTCACTGGGGAGGAGCTGTTTTTCCCCGTCTCCCGCAGCCCTCTTTCACTCTTACGGATGGATCGGTTCCCTCCTTCCCTCTCCTCCAGATGTTTTCACCAGGTCTGACTCTAATTTCATCACTCTGGAGGCATCCTTGATGCTCATCCCTGGCTGGCACTGCAATCTCTCCGGGAGGGGGAGGGGGGGGGCTGGAAGCTGATGGGCCAGGAGGAAGCAGAGAGAGTCCTGGGAGAGAGCAAAAGGCTTTTCCAGGCCTTTCCAGAGTCTTGGAAACCAGCAGAAGTGGCTGCTTCTCCAGCTAACTCCAGCTGCCAGGCGTTCAATGCATAGCAATTATCCAGGAATAAAAGCTCGGGCAGACAGGCTCGGTGTGTGTGTGTGTGTGTGTGTGTGTTGGCGGCCACGTGCAAATGCTTAGCGCAGCATGTAAATTAGTTCAGAAATTACGATGCTAGAAGATGGAGAAGGCCAGGATCCATCTATCTACGGCCTTCTCCATCTATGTAAAAAAGATGTTGAGACTCTAGAAAGAGTACAGAGAAGAGCAACAAAGATGATTAGGGGACTGTAGGCGAAAACATATAAGGAACGGTTGCGAGAATTGGGTATGTCTAGTTTAACGAAGAGAAGGACCAGGGGGGACATGATAGCAGTCTTCCAGTATCTCAGGGGCTGCCATAAAGAAGAGGGAGTCAAGCTATTCTCCAAAGCACCTGAAGGCAGGACAAGAAGCAACGGGTGGAAACTCATCAAGGAGGGAAGCAACCTAGAACTACGGAGAAACTTCCTGACAGTGAGAACAATTAACCAGTGGAACAGCTTGCCTCCAGAAGCAGTAAATGCTCCAACACTGGAAGTTTTTAAGAAGAGACTGGACAGCCATTTGTCCGAAATTGTGTAGGGTTTCCTACCTGAGCAGGGGGTTGGACTAGATGACCTCCAAGGTCCCTTCCAACTTTATTATTATCGATCATCGCACAGTCAGCCAGATGTTCAGACTGGATTTGGCATTTTGTCTACCTATCGAGTCCTTACCCAGGACCTGGGATAGGCAGATGTGGATGTTTGATGGTATTACAGATATCGTCGCAGGATGGAAGCAGTTCCTAATAAGGCTGCCTTTTGCAATTGACTAATAGCGAATTTGTCAATGCCAATGGTGTTCAAGTGGTGCTCCAGTTGTTTTGGGATTGCACCCAAGGAGCCTATGACTATTGGTACTACCCTTGCTTGCTTTTGCCACAGTCTTTCTATTTCTATTTGTAGGTCTTTGTATTTTGTTATCTTCTCCAGTTCTTTCTCTTCTATTCTGCTATCTCCAGGCACTGCCACGTCCACTATCCAGACTTTTTTGTCTTTCTTATCGACAATTGTTAAGTCTGGGGTGTTATGTTGCAGGTGCTTGTCTGTTTGAATTCTGAAGTCCCAGAGCAGTTTAATTTTATCATTTTCTATGACTTTCTCTATTTTATGATCCCACCAGTTTTTGCTTACAGGCAAATGATATTTTTTGCAGATCTTCCAATGCACCATTGTTGCTACTTTGTCATGCCGCTGCTTGTAATCAGTCTGTGCAATCTTCTTGCAACAGCTTACCAGGTGGTCCACTGTTTCTTCAGCTTCTTTGCATAGGCGGCACTTACTGTCTGTTGCTGTCTTCTCAATTTTGACTTTGTATGCATTTGTTCTTAAGGCTTGGTCTTGTGCAGCCAGAATTAGTCCCTCGGTCTCTTTCTTCAATTTTCCTGCTCTTAGCCATTGCCAGGTTTTATTGTTATCTGCTTTCCCAGCTATTTTTTTCATGTATTGGCCATGTAGTGCTTTGTCTTCCCATGCCTCTATTCTGTTCTTCATTTGGTCTTTCTTGAAGGCCAGTTTGGTCTCTCCAGTAGTTAGTAAGCCTTCCTGATATACTAATTTCAGTGCATCTTCATCATTGTTCTTCAGATATTCTTCCAAAGCCATTTTTTCTTCTTCAACCATCTGATGTACTTGTAGCATTCCACGCCCACCTATTTGCCTTGGTAGATAAAGTCTATCAATGTCACTGCGTGGATGAAGGGCATGATTCATTGTCATTATTTTTCTGGTCTGCCTATCCATTGCTTTTAGTTCTGCTTGAGTCCAGTCCACTATTCCAGCTGTGTACCTAATGACTGGGATTGCCCAGGTGTTGATTGCCTTTATGGTATTTCCTCCATTGAGTTTGGATTTTAAGATCTTCTTCACTCTCTTGATGTATTCACCTCTAATCTTTTTCTTGACTTCAGTGTGCTTGATGTTGTCAGCTTGAAGGATAACATATTATTATTATTATTATTATTATTATTATTATTATTATTATTATTATTATTATTATTATTATTATTAAGACAGGTGGCTGTCCAGGCTCTTCTTAAGCGATGGAGCACCTACAACTTCTGAAGGCCATTTCTGCTCCGCTGGTTCACCTCACCCTGTCGGCAAGGAGAACGCAAGTCTCGGCGGGACAAAGGTGGCAAAGTATCCGAGGAAGACCACCTTCGCGGAAGAGAGTTTGAGGGGAAGGGGGGGGGGGAGGAAAGGAGGCAGCAAGGGAGGGTGGGGGAAGAGAAGAAGAGAAGCAGCCAACAAGCTGGGACTGACAATGGCGAGGAACAACAATAGGCACTAATGGAATGGGCTTGTGGAAAGAATCCCAAATGGCAGCGGGACAAAGGAGACGTGGCAGGCGTCCCAGGGCAGGGTTCCAAGAAATACCAGCTGGGGAAGTCAAAGGGGGAGGTGGGCTTAATAGCCTCAGAGGGAATGTCTGACAGCCGTTGCCTCAAGGGGGGGGGTCATGAGAGGGGATGGGGCTGCCGAGAGACCAGCAAAGCAAGGAGGAATTCAAGGGGGTCTCTGTGGAGAACTTCCTCAAACCGTCACGGGTGAATGGCAGGTTGAGGGCCTTCAGACCATAGGGCTGTAGGCTGGGAAAGGCGTCTCTGGAGAAGACAGTCAGAAAACGAGGATGCCAGTCCTCACACTTACGACTGTCACGGCATCCCCAGCGACGCGATCAAAATTCGACGGGGTGGGGGGGTCACGTCATCGCCACTCGCAACCTTCCCAGCCGGGTTTCTGTCAATTTGGGGAGAAGCCATGTTGGCTTAATAACTGTGCGATTCACACAACAACAGCAGTGATTTGCTTACACAACTATGGTTTAAAAAAAAATGTAAAATTGGACGCCACTCACTTACTTATCAACGCAACAGAAATTCTGGTCCCAAATTCAGGTCATAAATTGAGCGTGTCAAAGGTTTTTTTCCTTTCCCTTCTTGTTTGATGTATTGCTTGGTTCCCCCCCTCTCCCTACTGTAAATGGGAGGGAAGAACTCTGAAATAAAAACAAAACAATAAAATAAAATAAAAACGCAATGCAATGCAATAAAATACAAGGGAGGCACCCAAGAGAAGTCCAAAATGGTTTAAACTCAGAAGTGCAAATCACGCAGCTGATGGGGTGTGTGTGTCCTGGTTTGGAAAAGGAGAGAGGGGCCAGTGGGAAGCGACAATCGCTGCCTAAAAACAGAATGTTCCTTTTTTTTCCACGAGAGCTGTGCGTTTGTGCATGCCTTTGGCGGTTTGGGCTTTTCTAAGGGAGGAGAAGGATCAAAATCCAAACTGGGAGGTGGAGGGGGGGGGGTGAGGACTTTCTTCTCTGGGAGGGGCGATTTGGGGGCAGGAGTCTCTTGTTCTTTCTCCCACCCACTTGCTTCCTATTTTGCCTTCCCAGACCTACAAACCAGGCCAATTGTTTCTGTGTTCCAGTTTTGCATCTTAGCAACCCACAAAATGTTTTACTAAATAAGGAGGCATCCAAAAACACCCTAGTAGCATAGTCTCGGACCTGCAGTTTGCAGAAAACTTTTGGTATTTAGAGGTTTGGATCAATTTTTCTTTTTCTTTCTTTCTTTCTTTCTTTCTTTCTTTCTTTCTTTCTTTCTTTCTTTCTTTCTTTCTTTCTTTCTTTTTTTCTTTCTTTCTTTTCTTTCTTTCCTTTCTCTTCCCTCCCTCCTTCTTTAATTCTTTCTTTCTTTTTTCTTTTCTTTCTTTCTCTTTCCTTTCTCTTCCCTCCCTTCCTTAATTCTTTCTTTATTTCTTTTTTTCTTTCTTTCTTCTCTTTCTTTTCTTTCCCTCCCTCCTTAATTCCCTTTCTTTCTCTTTCTTTCTTTCTTTCTTTCTTTCTTTCTTTCTTTCTTTCTTTCTTTCTTTCTTCTTTCTTTCTCTTCCCTCCCTCCTTCAATTTTCTTTCTTTCTTTTTTCTTTCTTTCTCTTTCTTTTCTTTCCCTCCCTCCTTAATTCCCTTTCCTTTCTTTCTTTCTTTCTTTCTTTCTTTCTTTCCTTTCTTTCTTTCTTTCTTTCTTTCTTTCTTAGAAGGTGATCACATGACCCAGGGACAGCACAACTGTCATAAGTACAAGTCAGTTGCCAAGCGGCCAAATTTTGATCACATGACCGCGGGGGATGCTGCGACAGTTGTAAGTGGGGAAAACGGTCCTAAGTCACTTTTTTTAAATGCTATTGTAACTTTGAATAATCCGTAAACCAACGGTTGTAAGTCAAGGACTACCTGTAGACTGTAATGGGGGGGGGGGAGAATCAAATCAAAAACCAAAAAAAGAAAAAAAAAAGGACAGTGAGAGATGTTTTTAGATATTTTACTGAAAGTAACCTGCTCGGGAAGGACTTCTTAAGGATAATGACAAACAGGAACCTGAAAAGAAGGTTAAGTAAAAATGGAAAGATCAGACTGAAACTCTTTACAAGCGGTATTATGGAGACACTTGCAGGCAGGGAGCATCTTCAGGAACAGATTCCATTAGAAAGGGAAGCAGGACAAGCAATAGACCAGCTGTCAAAAGAGACAGGATGAGACGCAGAAGAAATAGGCGGTGAATTGTTTAAGGTTACAGGGAAAGAGGCAGCAAAGTGCGAACCGCTCCGTGTCTACAGATCCATTTCTCTGGATGGCAGATCTGATTATCCTTCTCGGGAGCGTTGAAAAGGAACAAGGATCTACTCTATGAACTGGATTGGGAGGGGTTCCGAATAGACATTCAGACATACGCGCACATTATCCCTGGGTCTGTTTATTGATCGACTGATTATAAGCCATCAAGTTGGTTAGGGGCCACACAGATGGGTTTTTCCTCCGGGACAATCTGTCCCCAATCTAGTCTTTCAAGGTCTTACAAAGATGTTCCCATCACCGACTAACTGAGCTTAATTTAAAACTTTGAATTATACAGGGAGACGACACTACGGTATATAACTGGCAGCTTGGGATGAGATGCTTTTCTGCGCATCTTCTGGCATTGAAACTGGAGGCTAGAATGCAAGCAACCGGAGATATACTGTCATATCTGATATCATATGGCAACGTGGCATATTGATATAGGTAGGTAGGTAGGTAGGTAGGTAGGTAGGTAGGTAGGTAGGTGTCATGTGTCTGATTAACGAAACACTTCAAAGAATTTTCAGGCTTTTTTTTTTTTTTAACCTAAAAAACCTTTATTAGTATTACAGAGTGTCAGCACAGCATGGTGGATGCTAAGATCTGAATTTCCCTTCCTTTGCACATAACATTCCAGGCATTTCCCTTCCCCTATTTTGGGGTTATGGTTCACATCTTCCAATTAACTTGGAGGGCAAAGATTCACTTCTGTTTCTTTTTCCTGGGCTTCCCTTATATTCTCCTCCCCTTTCGCTGTCACCTGATTTAACTCTGAAAATATCAGACAGTTCTGCATATATATTGTCAAAGCAAGAATATTCAATATTAGCAGCGTTGACAGTAGGTGGATGGATGGATGGACGGACAGATAGGTGGATGGATGGATGGATGGATGGATGGATGGATGGATGGCTGAACGGATAGACAGACAGACGTATAGGTGGATGGATAGATAGCTGGATAGAGATAGATAGATAGATAGATAGATAGATAGATAGATAGATAGATAGATAGAGACCATATGATAGATACCATGTCAATATGACATTATATGTGATGCCACTTTGTTGGCTAAAAGTAACAATGACTCAGAAGACCTTAGAGGGGGGTCTTATGACCGCAGCTGACCCCAACTTTTCTGTTGTTAGGCGAGACAAACCGATCCAACTGATGTCACAAAAATTAAGTCTGAGGAGGAGGAGAGGTTGGTGGGCTCCATTTCCACATCTGAGGCTCTCTGAATTTATGGAGACAAGTCCTCCACTTGACTGACTGGCAGAGCTGCCAGCTGGGGATTTTATGTTCCATTCAATTATTTTATATTGTACCTTCAGGCTCCGCTCCAACGTGACTCTTAAGGAATAATCAGACACTCTCAATAGGCAATCAAACTCACATTAGAGCAAGGTTATAGTAGCAGTTGAGTAGCTGCACGTTTCTAAGAGTCAGGGAGATTTCCAGTCGGGCCACAAGCAATGAGCAGAATGGGGGAGATGGCAGTGCCCCTTACTTCTTGCCCGTAGCAACAGGAAGTTAGCTTGTGCCTCCAGCCACAATCAATAAGATAGCTTTGCTTCTGATTTTCCTAGCTTAAAGTCCAGTGGATTTTTTTTTGAGAGATCTGGAAGGGATCCTACCCTCGTCCAGCCAGGGCTGAAAGGCAGAAAACCCAGAGATTGAACCCGCTTTTGTGCTAAGACTATAATTGCTGAGCACAAACTGGCCAGAAGTTAGTCCTCATATTATAATGGACACCACGGACACCATTTTTACTAGGTGGACTAGAGGGTCAAAAAAGGACCATCCAACCGGCTTTGAACTCCTGGAAGGAGATCCAGAGGAGGAAAAGGAGCAGAATAAGCAAGAACTAACATGAAAAAAGAAATCCTTCGTAGTCCCTCTCTCCCCAAAACATAAAATAAAATTATTTTATTTTACTGTCTGTCTTGCCCAGTTCCTTCAGCCACCGAATCTCTCTGCTCGGCTAAACCTAGGAAGCAAAATCCCGGCATTTGCCCGACACGGATCTGAGAAAACCACAACTTGGGTTAATTTTCCCCCTCCTGGATTCCTAGAAGAGAACGGGGATCTACGCGGTGGGGGCATCGGCGTCCGACCACATCTGACGAAGAGTCGGAAAAAGGCAAACCCAGAGGGGGAAAAAAAAAACGGGGAGGGGTGGGGAAAAGGAAGCCCACTGCCCCCGCCTGCCAACCACGCACGCGTCTCGTTCCTCCGAGTGCGCATGGTGCGTTCTGGCAGTTTTTGTGGCAAGCCTCTCGGCAGGAATGCAAACAGAGTGCTTTTCAATGTCTGCCTTATGTCTCCAGCTTGGTGTAATTTTCTAAACAGGGTGGCTGCCAAGAACGCAAAGTGTGAAGAGAGGAAAGATGCCGGGAGCAGATGATCTTCATTCAAGGCCTCCTTGCGAAAGAATTTGCAGGTTAACCATCCTTCTTCCCTTCTCCTTTGAAGCCAGGCCACCTGGTCAGGCAAAACAGGGACGTCCCACGGACTCATCCGGAGCTCCAGTTTAAATAAAATTTAAAAAAAAAAAACACACAAAGAGCGGGACTGCGGTGACATCTTGTATTTGCGCGCATCTCACCGACGGCTCCAGCGCATTATGCGAAGGCTGACATTTCCCTGTTTCCTTGGCATCTGCTGGGGTGTGCCGCCTCATTTGGATGATGGGGTTTATTGGACGGGCGGGGTGAAATAAAACCGGGAAGAAGCAGATTGTCGACACAAATGCTGGCCGAAGATGAGTCGACGTCTCCGCAGCCTGTTGTCTTCTGCTCATAAAGGCTCCTGACCCACGCCGATTCACGGTCTCCCTGAATCAGAGGTCCCCCAACCTTTTGGGCACCGGGGACTGGTTACGTGGAGAGAGGTTTTTCCGTGGACCGGAGGCGGCGTGGTTATGTGTGCTGCCTGCATCCCGCGGATGGGGCTTTGCTTGTTTGTATGGACTGGCTGCTGGCGTGCCACAGCCCGGTATTGGTCCATGGACTGGGGCCTAAATGATACAAAGAGTGGGTCTAATCTCAGGACTCTTCCAGAGCTAAGGGGTACAATGGCAGCCCCTCAAATAGTGGAACACTGCTGTCATGTCACCCCCTAGTTCTTCTTTTCACTAGACTGGTCAACTTGTTTTCCAAAGCACCAGAAGGCAAGACAAGAAGCAACAGATGGAAAACAATCAAGGACAGAAGCAATCTAGAACTGAGGTGTAATTTCCTGACGGGGAGAACAATGAATCAGTGGAACGACTTGCCTCCAGAAGTTGTGGGTGCTCCAATGCTGGAGGTTTTAAAAAAAGTAGACTGGACAGCCATTTGTCTGAAATGGTGTAGGGCAGTGGTTCTCAACCTTTTTAA